AGAAAGAGGTCAAGAGAGATTAGATTCAGGTGAGAAGATTGTTGGTGCTGATATTTTGACAGCTGATAATTGTGTTGACCTGGGTGTCGAAGAACAACGAAAGATATCGTCTCAAGAGAGCGTAGAAGGATGCAAAAAGTTGGAAAGTCTTGAAGTATTCGATGAACTACTGGGAGAAGGCGAATTTGGAATCGTCTACAAAGGTAGGTATGGTGGGAAAGATGGAAACATGACAGACTTAGCTGTTAAAAAGCTAAAAGGTACATACCCGACATCAAAATGTCAAATTGTTAATTCCTAAGTCCAATGGTATACCGCTGAATTGATTTTTCTTTCTGGAAGCTATGCCCCATCTTACTTTTTCGTCATTTTTCCCTTTGCCGGAAACACCCATCAAGTCTGCTTTTGTCTCTTCTGACCGCGCTCTGCAGCCTCGCTACTTTTCAGTTCCTTCATCATTTCTTTTTACCACAGCCAGGCAATTTAAGAAGTCCCATTGGTGTTTTTCTCCATGCCACTGTAGACCATAGTGCCATTGCCACAGAAACCCTGTCTGATGAGAAAAAGACCTTGAAGCATGTTGGGAAACATCCCAATATTGTTACTTTGATTGGTACGCGGATAGAGGGAGGTAAGTCAGTTTTCGACGATGCAACTTCTTAGAGATAGGCATCTTCACTTGGTAATTGACGGCCCAATAAGGTAACGTTTCATCCGTGTGTAAGATCAGTTCGAACGGTGCATATGCTGATGTTATGGTTAAAGGAAAATTAGTAGACTTAATAAGCGTTATGCCAAAAATTTTTGCTTCTTGTTCGGAAACCATTAGATGCTGGGGTGAGTGCTGGGAGATTCATATGGAATTTGTTCCTTGCTTTTTTTTGGCACCCACTTAACCTATTTTTACCGACGGATTCACCCTTTTGATCAACTCCAGGGACAAATAATGTCCAATCACTTGCTCTTGTTAACTTTTCAGCCGGTGTTTGCTCTTTTTTCTCTAGGAAATGTTCTTGTGGTCACCGAATTGATTCATGGTGGCAGTCTGGAAAATATTTTAAAGGCCAAGAGGGCTCCAGGGGAAAAAAAAAATTATCATAACGTCTTCTGTAAGCTTAATGACCGGCAGCTGGTTACAATTGCATTTCAAACTGCCGCGAGAATGCAGCACTTAGAAGAGAGAAAGGTAAAACCCATTGACCGTGCGTAGAAATGTTGAGGTAACTTTGCTTACCTTCCACATTAGATGGCCGCTCTCAAGTGATTATAAACAGCTCCAAATATAACGCTGGCAGTTCGAGTTTGTGAGGGACACGTTGGGGGTCTTTTGCAGTTTGATATAAGCCACCA